CATCTCGGATTGGTTGTAAGCAGGACCGGCTGCTGAATCTATAGTAGCCAAGTTGCGTTCTATTTGGAAATTATTTGGAAACGGAAGAAGTGCTTGATTTCGATTTTTTTTTGGATTAAACCTTAAACACTTGGTTTTTATCTGATCCGTCAAAAAATAACCCCGAGTAATGTGAGAGTTTTAGTTCTTGTTGTGACATTTACTCGGTGTAATTTGTGCAGATTTTATGATCTTCTCGGACTTATATTTTATGTGATGTTAAAATTTTATCTAACGAAATTTTTTTAGTTTAGTTGAAAAATGGCCTCTTTCCTCCCTTTCGGTGGTTCCCTTTCTCTACACTTTGAACAACTACTAACAATGTCCTATCGATTACTTTGAACATACAGCTGTGAGACCAAAAAAGCATAATTATTATTGCATTTCAAGCAAATACAACCTGCAGCTTGTAAGATAAGTTTCCAGGAAACATTGAGATGAGAAAGAGATGCCTCCCAATGTGCACTAAATTCAGAATTTTCATTATTTTGCCCTTTTGACACTCACTAGGAAAAGAAAAAGATACTTTTGAATTTCATATATATATATATATATATATAATCATGATTTTCTTGGTAAACAGCTAAACATTATATTCATGATTTCTTTATGCTTTATATAGTTTCATTAAATCTCAATTGTGCTATTTTCCGTCTAACAAATTTGTAGATTAATTGTTAAGAATATTCATCTTTGCACTTGAAATCTTAGGCTCGAATCCTTCATCCTTCAATATCAGTTATATGTAAAAAAAGATATCTCTTAGTTGTATTTTTATTACGACAAAGAAAGCAAGATTACTAATCCATCGACTATTTTTTTTTATCCGTGAAACGAGATTTGAGATCAAAATCTCTTTTAACATTAGAAAAAGTAATATCACTACACGTTGCTGCTTTACTTTGAATGCAATGATAGAATTGTTAAGATTACAAGGCACTAACGCTTCCAATAATGTAAAAAAAATAATGAAAAGTAGGGTAGGGAAAGAAACAATGGCCAGGAAACCTAATGCCAAAGCCAAACAGTAGAATTGGGTGGATGCTACTGATAATTCTGCATTAAAATGGTCAATGTGCCATGATACAAACCATGAGGAGATCCAGAAAAGCGGTGGCACATATTGCTATTCCTAGTCATCCAATCCCAGTACTCCCCCACCCACAATTTTGGATTCTCTCCCCTCCTATTTTTGTCTCATTTCCTCTTCTCCTCTCACATATCATTTTTTGTCTTATTATCTTTATAAAATTATCAATATAAAATATTAACGTGACTTAACTGTAACCGTTCAAGTAAGAGAGGAGGAAAGAAGAGAAAGATTAGAAGGGAAGAGAATCCTAAATTCTACTCTTTGGTTTATTACCACTTTGTTTACTCTCACTCTCTCTTTCCACTCTAATCATGCAAAATGACATATGCATGAAACGGTTTTATCATTACGTGGTGTTTCAGTACGATAATATTTTTTATAATATAATGCTGAGTCAAAGAATATATACACATAATATGTTATTATTAAAATGAGACACCGCAGTGACGGTGAACCTACAAATTCAAATTGTGATTATCGGTTTTTGTTATCCACGTATATGCATTGATCATGGCGTTCGAACTCATGGAATTAACTAAAAATTGATTCCTCGAGCCTATGTATTCGCTCAAAATTGAGAAGAGGATCCTCTCCGGATCCATTTTGTGGGGATTCTAGGAATCCTCATATTCTAATTGTTCATCGTATATCGTACGGTCAGTTTTCGTCAAGTACTATTTGTGTTTAATTTTAAATAAAAAAAGTTAAATAATTTTTGACCGTACGATACACAATAAATGATTAAAATGTGAAAATTCTTAGAATTACCATAATTTGAATCCGAATGGAATCAAACGAAATTAAGGGTCTAAAATCCTATTCCATAACATATATTTTAATCAAGAAATAGTACCATTTTTGTATTGGCTTGTGACCCGGAGCTGAGAATGTCAACCAATAAAAATGTCTGTCTGACCATTGACTCTTCTTCCATGAGAAAACATGGCAGTGTAATCTTATGAATTGACTAATACGATTGTCAGTTATGGATTAAACAATAATGCATGTCCTCTTGCTCAAAAGAGTCCTAGCTTTTCGAGCATCCAAAGATGAGGGACAATAATGCAGATCATATGTAATAATTTTCACTTGGTCCATCACATAAATGAAAGTGGGGGCAAAATATTACCCTTGAACTTGGTCCATCACTGAAATGTCACAGCACTCATATGTGACGACAGAGATAAAGAAATGACAACATACACGTGTATATATTGTCACAATTTCAAAGTTGGTCAGCGATTTACTACTAAATACTTTAATATTATTTCAACTTATCAACTGCACACTCCTGTCAAGTCTAATTTTATTATTAAAAACTTTGGTACAATTTACTGTAGAGTTTCGGATTTCGAACTGTATTCTCCAACAAATAGACTCCAGGACAGAGAAAGGAGCCAATTTGCATGTCGTGTTCCCTAAAAAAACTCCCCGAGTCCCAAAAAAGGACATGAACTTGGAGGGTGGCCTTTTGTCTTTGATGAAGAAAACAAGCGAACAAGCATGGGGGTGGTGGGGGAGTGTGAAAGCTAATGCCAGCATTGGCATTGCCTTTCAGCAGACGGTGGAAAGTGACTTTCCTTGTTCACGTTGCTTTGCCATCTTGACGCTGTTCCACGTCGACCGTATTAATAAGAAAAAAATGGTTTGAATATTTTAACTTTTACTTCAATTAATATCGAGGTTTTTTGTGATAGAACTCCATACTTGACGGATTATGCAGATGGTAATTACCAAGTTAAGGACAATATCGATGCTGTTGGAAGTAGATTGTATGACCCTTCTCTCTTATAATTTTACATGGTATCAAAGGCAGAGAGCAGCCATGTACTGTACCCTCACATGATGGGGGTCCCCTTGGCCTCGTGCGATGATGGTAGGTCCCTTAGCTCCGTGTGTAGGGTGAGTCCCCTTGACTCTATGTGGTTGTCGAAGTATGAATCTCTCACGTGTAATCCACTAATTGGGTCTCACGTGAAAAGACGTGTTGATGTCCCACATCTATTGTATTAATAAGAAAAGAAGTTTAAATATCCAAATCTCACTCCAACTAACATCGATGTTTTTTGTGATAAACCCTCACACCTGACGAATTGTGTAAATAATAATTACCAAATTTGAAATAATATCGATATTGTTAGATATAAACCGTATGACCCGTCTATTTGATAATTGTACATGCGGTCCAACGGAATCCTCCTCCGATTTCCACCAAAAGATTATATGCCACACGTACACACTGTCATGTCTGCATGTACTTATTACATTGGTACATAATGGCAGCGCAACAGGTACCCATGTCATATATATCGTTAAATTGACCGATGTTTATCCTCCGAGTTTAGCATACTCACCACAAAACAACTGTTCATTGAACAATGCACTTATTAGACACACGACGAGCAAATGTTGGATACTGATGCCAATAGCACAAAAGAATGTGCTATCCACACACCTCATTTTATTTCTCACACATCCTTGATAATTTCTATCCATTGATCTTCTTCAATTCATCCCATCCGACGGCCGAGAATTAAAAAGGTGTGTGAAAAGTAAAATAGGATGTGTGTATATCACATCCCTAGCACAAAAACTCGGTTGCAAAATCCCTCCCACATGGCTTTGCAACATTCGTGAAGGACATTTCTAATCCCCTCTTACATTTTCCACAAACACCCAAATGAATTCAATCTTCACAAATCCCTCAACCCATCATCAATATATAACCAACCAGTCCACTGCTTACAAAGCAATTTATGGTGGAAGAGGTTTATGGGGGAAGAGGAAGTCAAATATGAAACCGAAAAACTCCACCGGTTCCCACCAAAGCTTAAAACCCTGAAAGAGTTCCACACTACTGAATTCATAACATTTAACACAGATAAACATACCGTCCTCGAGCAAATGGAAACGCCAAGCATTATCTGCTCAACATGGTGTTAACTAGTGACCATGATCCACCGTCGGATGCAAATTGACATCCAACACCAGAGGATTCATGGCAGCCACAAATGGAGTGAGTGATGCGCTGTTCCCTTCCCCCTTTAGCTATACAAAAACTGTGAGCCTTATACAGTTATTAAAAAGCTAACAAGCACAAATAAAATTCAGCACCTAGCGATATCTATGACCACCGCATTTTTCTTCTGTAAATCAATACTAGTATACATCAAGCAACGAATATACTTCTGTCTCACGCTTCTGCCAATCATCACTTCAAAGTTCGGATCCCAAAAGTTCCAAATAACACTAAGAAAAGAAGATCATGACAATAAAAAATTCTCCACTTATCTGGAAGTAGAATAACCTAACCTTGATCTTGTACCTAGCAATCACATAACAGATAACCTTAAACTTGGAGACACCCAACAAAGCCGAAGATCAATAAGATGTATGCACTATTGACATGAAAAGAATCGAGCAGAAACTGCTGCAATATAAACGAAGTACACAAAAGTTTTAAAACTTACAAAATGATGGAAGAGAGTTTGCAAGATAAGAGTGAAACAAAAACAAAAAACAATTAACAAAGAATATATGATAGAACTTAAGCACTCCTGATGAGAAAACCACCAAAAGAAAAAGAAGCTATTTTGTTTCTCATTTTCTTCAGCACGAAAGACTACATAAGAAAAAAACTTCAAACTTATACGTCTGTGTGAAACCATAACCCTAGGGCCCAGGCAGTGAGAATATACGGAGGAACAGGTCAACTAAGAGCCTTCTACTCATAATTACTAACACTACCATAAAGAAAATTGGGAAGGTAAAAGCTACCAAACAAGACCTAAGCGGGAATTCACTGCCAATTACCGACACAATAAGCCCCCAACCATATGAGCATAATAAAAGTGTATTAACACCATGATTTCAAATCTGAACTGAGCACATATATACATTGTGAAAATGTGGAACAAACAATTTAAGGAAATTTTAGTTGCATTGCATTACATTGCATAATTGTACTGCGATAAAGAAATGCATACCAAGCATAGAACACACTAAAATAACTCCAAAGACATCCATCAAACCAACAATAATAACGACTTAAGACAGTGGAGCCAGCTTAGAAATATTTCACCAACAAGGAATAGACTTCACTTAAATGATATCCTCATTATCATGACCTTAAGCAATTTTACCATTAGGAGACCTATGCAGACAAGAAGCCAAGAAAGAGAATCATCATCCTCAAATAGATTGATCTTCACTTCCGCCCGCGACTCCTAGATTTTGTCAAGTTTGTCTGCCTTCACGATAGGATTGGCTTTTGCAATAGCATCCTGACCAGCAGTCCTATAATCAAAAGGACAGTCATGTTTATCAGAATAACGATGACTTGCACAGAAGGTGTTTCCACATTTGCAATTGAAGCCAGTTAAACCAACGCGCTTTCGGCAAGTAGTGCATCTGCTTGGTCCCTTATTTTCTTTCATCTCAATCTTCATGCTTGGGGATGATTCAATATATGCTTCTGTTGAGACAACACTTGTCTCCACTCGTACAGCTTGCACATCGACAACACTTGCAACAACTGGGTCAATGAAGATGTTGCTGCTGCTGCTGCTGCCGCCGCCATTCACAATGCTGTCAATGGATGATGCAGCCAAATTGGCTTGCTCCTGCTTTAAGAGCGTGTCCTTGTAACACTTGGAACACATGTTCATTGTCGCGGCCCTTCCAAAGAATCCACAGTTATTAACACAAAGGATAGGGCGGTCTGGAGCTTGGCATCCAGTTTCATCATGAGATTCCATCTTTTCTACTTATCTGCACCAAGAAAACCTCGCCGTTTAAACATCATAAAACAAGTCTTAACCCAATGGCCTATTCACCCACTGCAAAAATATCAAACCACCATAAACATGCAAAATAGAGGCGAAATTCTATAACTAAAAACATATAATCAAACTTGGAGCTACCAAATAACCAAACGCCCAGCAGAGTGAATTACATAAAAGCAATTTTACAGATGCCATACCACAAGTACCAAATAACCAAAGACGAAAATAGAACATATGGACTTAAACACATCGAATCATGCAAGTAGTATATGATTCGGGCTAATTATCTCCTTCCGCCAAACTTTTCAGATTTTCAACATGGGTAAAACTTCAATTTCACTTGCTCTGTCATACAAATCGAATGCCCCGAGGTGAACTGTCCAGGCCAACGTTTACAATTCAAGCCACTTAATAACATATGCAGAAAACCAACAAAACATCAAAATTTTCCCTATAACGTCGTGAACTTGACCCAAATCCGATATAATCCAAACAAGCTCAGTTCAAACCTATACAAATAACCCATAAACTCCTACAAATTCCTCTATACATGCCAAAATCTTCAAAAACTCCGATAATAAACGAACAATCCCAGTCAGACAACAAAAAATCCAAACTTTCAACCGTAAACGTTTTCAATTCCAGACGAATGAAACCCTCCACACTTAATTGACCAAAGAAATTGAAAAAACTACGGAATTCGGGAGCTTGCATTTACAAGTACAAAAAATTGACCCATACAATTCCCAATCCCAAAATTCATACACAAAATCAAACTCTAACCTGTTTGGTTCCGGCCGATCCGAGTCGAAAATCCAACCAGGCAATTCCTGCTCCTCGTTTCAAAATTTCAAATTTCAAAAAACAATAAATTAATAACAAAATCAAACAAATACTGGAAAATAAAATATAAAAAATAAAAAAAAAAGCAGAGAGAGGGAGGGGGATGAGCTTCATACCCTGATCGAGGAGATTATTGCTTTGATATTAATTATTGGAAAAATAAAAATAAATATGTAGGGCGGTACATAAAAAATAAATAAAAAATAAAAAGGGGAAAGAGATAATTGGTAGTGCTGGGTTTTTTGGTTTGGAGGCTTCTCGTGGGGCTCTTTATTTCACCTTTCCGTTTTGCGAACGAACGCTTTCCACTAAGTCGGTGGTAGCGATGTAACCGCCCCTCGACGACCACATAATTGCGGTGTTGCCATTTCACTGTACAGGTCCCAGTCGGACTGTGAACTGTTCGGGGATTTGGAGTTTGGTCTGGGCTGGACGGACACATAGTCGTGTTGGGTTGGGCTTTGGTTTTGAAGAGGCAAATTGATCCAGATCATGTGGTAATAACCACATTGTTGTCTGCGCCACTATGATTGTCATCTCTACTACCACCATTTTACCTTGGACTTGGATTATCTGCCCTTCCATTTCAGTGCTCTCCTCGTGCCTTCCTATTTGTATGGTCACGGTTAAGTCACGTCAACATTTTATATTACTATTTCTTTTTGTTTTATTATTTTTATAAAAAAACAATATAAAATGTTGACGTGGCTTAACCGTGACCACACAAAACAAAAGGGCACGAGGAGGGTACTGAAATGGGAGGGCAGACAATCCAAGTCCTTTTACCTTAGGCATCAGCACCAACGTTGCCAACTACTCCCACCTTTACAGAAGACGATTTCGATCTCAGACTATTAAGATTGGCTCATTGAGTGTCTTACCTCGAATCCCCAAACCTTGTTGTGTGTATACAAAGGGGACGGATGCCAACATTTTATATAATTTTGACACATTTTTTTGAAGGAGCTCATTCCGTAACGTATTTTAAAGATCTAAACCGTCTATCTTTTAAAACATCATTCAATTGTTATGATGTGGTCACCACCATCTTCACCACATATAAATTGGAAGTTTTATGAGTTGAGAATCGACAAGTAAGGAAATCACATGAGCAAAAACAAGCTCTTTGAAACCTTATCTGAAATTTTAACTCTCGTTTTGTGGAGATTGCGCTCCCAATGAATTTCAATATGCATCCATATTTTATTCAATTCAATAAACGTTTGATCATTGGATTCCATATTATGTAATTTATGCTTAAAATTCAGATTTTGAATCAACTAATATTAATATTAACCATGATATACTCAATTTGTATTTTGAATATTATTTGTTGGGCTTTAACAAATATGATATTTTCAATAAATTAAGTACTTATTTAAAATGTTTAAAAAAAATTAAGACGAATTTAAAATAGCACTAAAGGATTAAAAGATTTTAGATCCTTAATTCTAACATGAATTAATATGTAAAAAAAAAAAAGGTCTATTTATTAAGGGGCACCATTTGAAATTTCGACCGGGAATTTAAAAACTCATGACCGGTCCGACGCAATTCCTCCACGCCATCGCGGCGGGAAAAGGGTAAATTGGAGCGCTAATTGGCGGGAGCAAATCGAAGCTCCAAAAATTTACATATAAATACAAGCCCTCACTGGTCACTACCAAATCTTTCCCCAAATTTCAAAGCTCCCGATTCGAAGAAAATGGGGAAAAGAAAGAAAGCTGGGGTTTCTGAGCAGAAGCAGCAACCCCCACCACAAGTCGAAGAAGAAGACGAACAGCAGGAACACAGCGACGAAGATCCCGACCCCCCAACTTCCACCAACAAGAAAAGCCTCTATGAGGTGCGTTAAATCCGTTCGAAATTTTAATTTTTCTTGATGCAATCCGGTTAGCGTCTGAATTTGATGATTAAGCTGGAAATTTTGACTTCAGAGTGTCTTTTTTGCCCTAATTTGGAAAATTGGGGTTTTTTTTTATGGGTTAGGGTTTGTTTGTTTCGTAGGTTCTTGGTGTGGAGAGAAGCGCTACTCAGCAGGAAATAAAGAAGGCGTATCATAAGTTAGCATTGCGATTGCATCCGGATAAGAATCCTGGTGATGAGGTGAGAAAGCTTGTTAAAAAAATTGTGTTTTTTCTTCTTCTGTGAATTGTGGTGTTTCTGTAACTGTAAGTGTAAATTTTGATATTGTTCGTGTAGGAAGCTAAAGAGAAGTTCCAGCAATTGCAAAAGGTGATATCGATTCTCGGCGATGGGGAGAAACGAGCGCTCTATGATGAGACGGGTTGCCTTGATGATGATGTGAGTTGATAAGATTAAAAACACACCACAAAGTAGCATACAAATGTCATATTGATTTTTCTTATTAACACTAAGATTTGTCAATGGGAGCATATGAATAAGGGTCTTTCCTGCAAAAGATATTTTTATCTAACTATTTACAATGTCACAAAACTGGTTGCTATCCCTACTGACCAGCCACCAAAAAATAATTATTAGACCGACTTACACTTATCTAAAGTCTACAAAATTTTATATGAAGGTACTAGACACACAGAACTACATTTACACAAATTTTTGGAGTTGATTTGTTATTTAAATTAAATTGAACAAAAATAGGACAGAAACAAATTTTAAGTAGTTCACAAATTAAGAAAAACGAGTTAGGGGAATTGCTATCCACCACCAAATAATCATGCAAACATGTTATGTTTCATTCAAATTCCTTTTATTTCTGGATGAAGATGCTCAAGTTGGCTCAATGTTAGAACTCAACCTATTACTCTTTCTTATGTAGTATATTAAGAGAATGGCGTTTTCAACTTAACTTAGTTCCTAGCATGCAATCTAGAATGGCGTGTTTATAGATTTAACAAGTAGAAATCATTAAGAACAAAAAGAGTTTGAGTCATCACAAGGCATCGTAAGTACTGACGTTGTCTTACTTATTCTAGAAATTGGTTCACATGTTAATCGCAATTAACAAGTACTAATCTAGAACTTATGTAGGTCCTCATTCGACAAGGGCAGACACACACATATTCATAGTTTTAGAATCTTAGATATGCTTACTACGTATGCATCCATAAAAAACAAATAAAGAATTCATCAATGAGACAAGTAGTGAACCAATTTTCATCCATTCATTAAAGTAATTCAAACAAAATGTCATAACAAACTAGCAACCATATTCGGGGCTTCAAAACAGCCCCTAACTACTAAAAATTTAGTTACACACAATCCTTAAGTTAAAACAAAAGATAGACATGAATTTGAGAAGATAGAATCGAAAGAAATCGACCGAGGCCTCCTCTTCCCTTTCCTTCCTTCCCCAACGCTGCTTTTAAACCAATTCTTGTTGCACCCTTTTCTTCTCCTTAACTCACCCACTAATAGCCATTTAGTGATGACAATAAGTGAGAGGAAATGGTAAAACAATTGTAACTCTTTGGATAGCCTTTATGCCAATTACTCCCTCTTAATCCTCATCTTTGATTCTATTCCCTTTTATATTTGAATAAGTGTCAGCTGACTTGTTCTTGGCTGCATCAGTTTTGGCTGCTAGATTTAATGGGTTTATTGCTTTCATTGCAGTTACAAACTGCTCAGCCTCTTGGTAACCTTTCAGTGTTAAAACGACCATAACTTCTTCTAGACAAATGATATTAACAATTTGCGAAATGCTCTAGAAAATAGACATCTGTAGCTTTCCAAGTATATATGGCTCATTCTCTAATTCATTCTGAGCTGTTCGCAACTTGCTTTCAAAGTCAGCTGATCTGCACATGCAGTTTTGACGAATTTATCACTTAAAATCCCACTTGTGCTATTTTTCTTTTCTTTGCTTGACAATTCCCACAAAACACAAAAACAAAGTAAATAGCTCAAAAATATAAGGAACTAACTAAGAAAAGACAAGTGAATTTGATGTAAAATATATATAAATATGAGCTTATCATGAGTGCGTGATGTTATTTTCTTTGTTTTTTGATTCATTCACTTTAATGCATTATGCTGTTTAGTGTGATAAGTAGGATTCTTTACTAGAAATAACAAGTAAATATGTCGGGGTTGATTGTTTTTTTTTAGAATTATTGCAACCTTCGTACTTGGGCAACTGCTTTGTAAGATCAATTTGGAGGGTTTTAGATACTTTGGGAAATCAAATGTTGCCTTATTCATCAAGTGTTGCTTATTTTGGTTGCATTTTCATGAGCAGGACCTTGCTGGTGATGTTGTTCAGAATCTGCAAGAATATTTCCGTGTCAGATATAAAAAGGTTGGGATGTTTTCATCTTTTCATATTGTCGTTTGATATAGCACAATGTCATTTGTGCTTTTGGCGTATTTCTAACAACATCCACATCCATTGCAGGTCACTGAAGCTGATATTGAAGAGTTTGAAGCAAACTATAGAGGGTCTGATTCTGAGAAGAAAGATTTGATTGAGCTGTATAGCCAGTACAAGGGGAATATGAACAGGTATTAGCTTTGATGTTAGTGGCGTTTATCATTTCTGTCTTTTGGCTTCCTGTTTGTGTTTGATCCTTACCTTACAGTTATTTTCCTTGCAGAGTGTTCTGTTCAATGATTTGTTCAGATCCTAAACTTGATTCACACCGTTTCAAGGATATTCTTGATGAGGCAATAGCAGCAGGTCTGTATGTTTTTAAGCTCCAGTTTCATAGTGAAATTTCTGAGACTTTGGTTCAGGTTTTTAGTTTATGTACATGAATATAATGTTTACAATGTCTATTTATATTTACCTGACTGAAGGAGTACATGGATTTCAAATGATTCATTGAACCTTATCATTTCAAATTCAGTTGTTACAGTATGTCTAGTCATTTCATAGATTTATATATTTGGTACTTCATGGTTCTAACAAATCTGAGCGTCTTGTCCAAATTTAAATTCATTGTTTTAAATCCTTCTATCCAATGGAATTTTTTTTCTCTCTATCTTAAATGATTGAAAGGATTTTCCCATCGTCGTACCACAAACTTACGTGTCAATCTTATTAGGTGATAAGATTAACCAGGAATGTCGATCTTTTCTGAGCTCAGACCAGCCTTGCAAACCATGTCCCATTGATTGTAGGTGATAAGATTAACTACGAATGTTTAGTCATATGTCCCCTTTAACTCCTTAGAGGGACCTTATCAGTTGCTGGATTCTATCTTCTACACTGGTTAAGATTTTTGGTTTGATGAATGATCATCTATACAGCAACATTAGAGCCTCGTTTTAATTGTCTGGAGTCAAGTCACATGCTATCTTATAAGTTATATTTTCTAATTACGCTTACTCATCAATTAAGCTACCCTTTCTAATTGGCATATCTATCAATAGTTGTTTTACGTGTTAAACCACCGTAATCGTGCTATGTTATTGGTGCATTTGTTAAGTCACACAAGTAAACTTTCAAATTTAAGTAACATTGACACAATTGATGCATTCTTGGCGTATAGAATTGTCCCCAATTTGAGTGTGTGCTCTTTAACGTTATTCACACCCTCCCTCTCTTTTGTTCTCTTTTGCAGGAGAACTGAAATCAACCAAAGCCTACGTAAAATGGGCAAAGAAAGTATCGGAAACAAAACCTCCTACTAGCCCTTTAAGGCGGAAGAACAAGTAAGTACTTTCCTACAAGTTTATTTAATTGCTTATACTTTTTTAGCTCAATCAAGAAATTAAAAACCTATGTACTTAAATCTAATCTTTTACAGGGCAAAGAAACAGACAGAAGATCTGTACGCAATCATATCTCAGCGCCGCAGTGAGAGGAAAAACCAGTCTGATTGTATGTTCTCTTCTCTAGTTTCCAGATACGGCGGGAGCACTGCTGCTTCAGAACCCACAGAAGAAGAATTTGAAGCTACACAGAAAAAACTTGAAAGAAAAAGGTCGTCCACAAAATCAAAGCGCTAGTAACTCGAACTGCCAGAGTGAGCAATTTACTCCAGTAGACCGGTAATGTGCACATTGCAAACACTGTAGTGCCTTTCGTTATATGTATTTAAATGTACCTGCAAAATTGTGTGCGAGTTCTACTTCTATTCATGGTGTTAGATGCAGTTGCTCGACGCTAATGTGCTTGTGACCTAACTAATCGATATATTTCAACAGCAACAAAGCATTTTCCTATTAAGTGGGATCAGTTATATGAATCTTAGAACGTCATTGCTCTTGGTTATGTGTTACGTTTTCCGTTAGATCTAAGTACTCTTTAGTCTTTTATTAGAGTATCTTGCAAAGTCTTTTTAGGTCTTCCTCTACTTTTTCGGTCCTGAACTTTTGTTCCATAATTGCATTCTCTAACTGGAGCGTCAGTAGATTTTCGTTTCACATGTTCAAACCATCATAACTAATCGATCTTTTTCATTTGAAAAAAAAAAAGAACTTTGTGGGCCATTGATACTCTTGTTCAGCCATTGTAGATAAATAAAAATTTAAATGATATTTTGATGAGCAAAATGAGACAAACTAAAATTTATGAGGCAGATCGGGTTAATAATTTATACATTTTAAAAAAAATTCATATTAATTTTTTAAAATTATTAATTTGTCATCTTATTTTAAAATCTTAAGTTTTTCATTCAAAATAAATCATGTGATTTTAGATGAAGATATATATTATCTATTCTAAAATTGAGGAATGAATTGACTGTAGCTTAGCTACAGTCAAAATATTGACCCTCGATTTTGCTTTATTTACATCACTACCATCATATCTATGGCTGGGTTGGAAGGTAATTATCAAAAGTTAGGAGGGTAATTTTGTCCGTATGGTTTTGGACGGATTGGATGGCTTAGCGCAAACAGAGGGACAGAAGAGAGGGAGATGGAGAGAGAGTGTTGTCATTCGGTGAGGGTTTCGGGGATGGGAGACCATGCCTCTCAGATAGAGATAGAGATAGGATGGAGGGAGACAGGGTGAGGGAGACAGAGAGACAGAGCGACAGAGAGAGAGGGAGGGAGGGTGAGGAGTAGGGAATGTTGCTGCTGACGACTCGGTCACTAACTCAGATCTCCTCCTTAACGCCAACGCCCACCGAGTCCAGTGTCTCGCTCTCCAAGCCCATAGAAGGCAGCTTCGTCGACATGATCGATAAAGCTTTGGAGAACGAGTTCAAAGAGAATGATTAGAACAAAGGTTAGTAGTAGATCCGATGTTCTTCTTTCTATGCATTTTGGTTCAAATTAGGGTTTTAGGTCGAAACCCGAAACAAAAAGAAAATTATGGGGGTCGATCATCTCCCCAACAATCCCAGAGCCTCCATTTCTCCCGCTAGGCAAAAGAAAATTAAATATAAGGAGGCCTGCAACTTCGTTTGCAGTCCGCCACTGCAATCGGTCTGGAAGTTTTGATTGGTTGGTTCTTTTTAATCTTTTTAATCGGGCATTGATCAGATTAGGGTTCTTGGTTTCTGGTAAGGGAAATTTTTTTTATATATTTCACATTATATCTGGAAGTCTTTGATTTACTTAATTTGGGTTTGCTTAGTTAAATTTAATTTTTTATGGGTTATTTTCTTTTGAGTTGATTTTTGGAATTTGAATGCAAGATGCAAATACATCCGTCCAAATTTGGTATAATTACGATTTATAGATTTTTTATTGGGTGCAGGAACTGTGGGAAACAAGTGTATTCGGGTATGGATTCTTGACCTTGGCTATTTCATTGACTTGGATTAGTGTCAATTAATCCAATTTTTTGTCATGATTTTCTATTTGGTTTTTTTTATTTTTTATGAAACTTATGTACAGGGTTTTGACATATAGGTGGATTTGACACAGTTCATGCTCGGCTGGGTAAAAAGACTTCCTCGGTTGTTTTGCTTGGATTTTCTTGCTGTTTGGGGATTTAGATAATTTGATTACTGTGGGAATTGTATGTATTATTGTTCTTAAATTGGGTTGGCTGAATTAGAGCCTACAGTCGAGCTGAGATCAGGGTCAGAGGAGTGTCATATTGGGGGGGGGGGGAGGATTTGGGTTTTAATCCTTTTTTTTTTTTAAATGAATGAAACAGGTTGGATGATATCAATTAAAACCTCAGTGATTACGAGGATGATTAAAAACAGGTTGGATGATGCATACGTTTCTTGGTTAACCTAATTTTGATTAATTTAAAATGGCGGTGGGTTTGGGTTGTAATCTTTTTTTCTAATGAATGAATAGATGAAGAATTTGATTAAGGAAGAATTACTGCACATACTACGTCGGCAGAGCACTGGCTTCTTTGCGGGCCAGCTCCAGATATAGAGGGGTTACACTGCACAAATGTGGTAGATCCGGAGCTCAAATGGGATAGTTCCTCTGAAAAAAAGTGAGGGATCATTTTTATGGAGTTTTCAATTTTGTACTGTATGGTTTGGGTCTAGACCACATAAGCAGAGTGGCTGTTGGTTTGAACTCTGAACTAACAATTGATGCAGTTTTGGATTCTGAATTTCTTATGGATAATCCAATAGAATTAATACTGAAAATTTACCAATGGATAACACTTCAAAGTTGATTGTATAATATAGTTGTCCTTACTCTATAATAATTTCGAGTTTTTGTATAAAGTTTGTTACTTTGAAGTATACCTATATGGCTATATAGTACTTTCTCTTATATATGATTCGTATAATCATGTTTTTTGCACGTGCAACAATCTGGTTGTCCATCTTTCAACATGTGAGAATCATTGTAAGAGTGATTACTCTTTGTAACCCAACTAATATACTATTTTGTATATCTTTTGCAAACAATGAGTTGACATTCGAAGTGATTGAGAAACTTTGGTGGGCTTAATCAATAATAATTTCTATTTTTTAGTATAATTTCTGTTGCTCAAAGTATATGCGTAGAGTATTTCTTCTTATATATGATTTGTACAATCATGTTTGAACGTCTCTCAATGAGTATGAGCTCATTATTGTGCATGGTTATTCAGTTATACCAAACCAATACACTTTCTTTCTATGTTTTTATGAACTGGGAGTTGAGTGCAAGTTTTTATGAACTGTAGTATACTGTATTTTGTTTTTATTTTGCATATGAATCTTATCATGTTCATCTCAATATTTAATGAAATTTCTACCCTTGCCAAGCATGGTGTTCACAGATTGTTGTACTCGCTGGGTTTTTTTGTTATTTCCAGGTATAATTCCCACTTCTCTCTGCCTGCTTCCCCACTCCTTGCTCCAGTTGTGACTGGTTTTCCTTTTTGGTTCTATCTTAGAAGTCTGTCAAGGAGAAGGTTAGTGAATGAAAGAAATCTAATCGAGAGGCATTTTCTTTTTTTTGGAAGATATCAATTATATTTGGGTGTTTGAACATGTTGTCTAAAAGTATACTCTGTTTTTTTAGTGGTTGTAACTTTTATATTTCACATTCCTATTCTGTATTTTATAGGCCAGGAGACCTGAAGAAAATCCATTGAAAAAGGAGTGATGAAGCTAAAGCAGCATTTGAAAGTTTGAGGTATCACTAAAGTGAAATAAGAATTATAGTTTAATAAGATGGGTATGTTTCACAATCTAAAGACACATTGAGAATACGAAATACGATAGGCTATCGATAAAGCATGGCTTGAAAAAAGGAAAAAATTCATGCAGACAATTCTGGGGTAAGCATCCACAAAGAGTATTTGGTAGGCCAAAGTATGGAGTCCATGTTTTTGTGTTTGCACATTCCATATCCAAGCAGATTTAACATTTTAGCATGTGGCAATCTACTGCTTCATAATACAAGAAAGAAATAGTGTCAAGTTGTTTTGTTTTCTTATTCTCTTTGTATCTAAAGTTTGTGTCTTCGTATCTGAAGTCTTTGTGTCTTCATAAATTTTGGTTCTCACTTCTCTACATATAATCCAAAGTGTGACATGACTATATATAGCCCTCATAGTTGATCTATCAAGAATTTTGGTTTATCCAATTTTATTTGACTCTATATATTCCTAATTTCATGAATTAAAGTTGCCACGCCGTCCATCTTGGAGTAAGACTCGAATTATGATTCAATTATAACAACATATTACCACTTTTTTTAGTTCTTTGGTGATCCTTTATATAGTGGATGAAGCTTCAATTAGTTCTACCAAACAAGCCACAAATTCTGTCTGGTAATTGTTTGATCATTCTCTATATATTTGATGAAGCTTTAGCTAGCTTATACCAGACAACCCCTGATTTCTTTATGGTAATAGAGCTTCATCTCTAATTGTTTATTGTTTGATTAGATTATTATAATATTTGGGTTGTTGGATATGATGGGTTTGAATTGATTTTTTGTTTTCGTTTTTCAGAGTGATGGATTTTCGAATGAAATGCACTTAACCCTGGATTCCAGTGGGGGTGGCTGAAGCAGCTGCCGGATATGACAAATGGCAGCTAAGGTTCCATAAATTGCCATGCTTTTAGTTTTATGAAATATGACAAGTTGATATATATATATATATATATATATATATATATATATATATATATATATATATAGAACTTACATCTCTTGACAAATTGTGTTGCTAGATAGTTTTTCACGTTCCAGACCAAGATAAAGTTTATCATGTTATTCTGTCCACGCTTCTCTGTCTCAGCTGCTTCTCTTCTTCTGCCCATTCCTCCAAATGCCCCCCTTCATTTTCATTTCTGAAATTTCATTCTTAAAAATCCATCAGATCATGCTTAAATTGTTAGATGCACACACTCTGTTCTTTCTCTCTCTCAGTGGAACTCTCTCCACTCCATGCTCAATCCTCTGCTTCTTCTCTGATTCATGGTTGGGTGCAGTGGCAGCACAGAGCTTTCGCCGGAGGGAGAAAGGATTTTGATACGAGACATTACTTGCTCACCCAAAGGTTCCAATTTTTTGCATTCTTTTGGGTTTATTTATTTATGAAATTTGATGACTAATTTTTAAATAATTAGAAATTAGTTCTTCGTTGTGAAATGTTCATTTTTCGTTCTTTCCGTGATTTTCAATTGTATATTAGTAATGCTTTGAAAAACACATGATTCATTAAGTGAAAGACGCTAACCGAATAGTTAGAGATGCCGCAAGCAAAGATCATATAGCCTAATTGACTACAACAAGTTACTTTTATTTGTGTTTGTAGTGATGTAATGCTGGTTCTGTTTATTGTGATTTTAAATCAAATGCCTTACTTTGTCTAAATTTACTACAAGATCTATAATTTGTATCTTGCGGGAAATGGTAAATAGGCCATTTTCGGAATGACATGAAATTAGTTGGATATGGCATAAAAAGAGGGGATAAATCTATTTCAGTTGAAGAACGCATTTTGGCGAGGGAACTTTGAACTGATTAGGTGAAGAACCAAATTGTCTTATAGCATGCTTCTCATTTATTTAAAAAATGGATTGGATTCCTATAAATATTTTAGCGATTGACTATAGATAAGGCAGTTGCATTGCCACTTTAAGATAAGGCAGTTGCATTTTTCAAAGTGAATTGTCTTATACAAAACTATGTGAAATGTACTAAAGTATAATATGGGACTTTTACCTCAGTATCGAACTTGGCTGTATGCCAGAATGGTTTGTTTAAGCATCTTTTAAGTTATATTATGTTTTCTATTTTAAAAAAAATAAAAAAAGAGAGAAGAAGTTATCTCCTGTCTTTTGGTTTCAGAACCGTCTATCTATACATCATCATATACATCATCATTTCTTCATTGCTTCACTGTAGGTGAGAATGTTATGTGAGAAAGCCAAGGAAATTCTAATGGGAGAAAGCAATGTTCAGGTGTAAATTTTGGTCTCTTTAGTCTCTTATTATATTTGTATTACATTACATATTTCACTGTTATTTCATTTTGTATGGGAAAAAAGCGTTATTATTGTCCTTCATTTTGAACTGGTAACACTGGTGTAGATCTTTTAAACTATATGGGTAGACACTTATTATTATTTATTTGCATGCATGTGAAAGGGCCAGTGACAATTTGTGGCGATATTCATGGGCAATTTCATGACCTTGCAGAGCTTTTTCAAATTGGAGAGTTTTCTTGCTTGCAATTTTGAATTATTTCAAATTATGAATGAAAAAGCTTTTGGAAATTAGATACTTTCTGTGAAGATTTTTCTTTGGAGTTCAGTAAATTGATTGCTCCTTTGGCTATAAGTTTGACATTAGTAAATTCTGGACTTTAATTTCAGTGATTACCCAACATTGATTGTTATTGATTAGCATTTGTTTTCTGGAATTTGGACTCTAAACAGTTCAAAGGTTTTGGGAAAGGAATGCTTTTTAATCTAGCCAATTGGTGGTCTTAGCAATACAATGTCAAATTTTTTTAAATCCGAGTCTGACAATTTTGGCAAGATGCAAATGAGCTGTGATTGGGAAGGTAATATCATCCTAATATATTTTTCAAAGCAATTTACTTATTTGTATTTTGCAGCTTTATGTGTCCAAGAGGTTTCAAGTGTTAGTGAGGACCTCGAAATGTATGTATTAAGGTTAATCAGTAGTGGTACAAAATATAAACATCACTTTGAGTGATTAATATAAACTCTGTATGTTTTCGTTTTGAATGTTGAAGTTGGAAATTGCTTTGGTTAGGATACTAATGATTAGAAAATAACTTTGTTTAAGGAATGCACAAATAGTCTATGGGTGGATTTTCATGGAAAAGTTGACTAAATTTCTTCTTTGTTGTTTCCATATGGTGCTTCAGTGGTGGGTTTTGAAATTTTAGTTGTGGATGTGAAATTCACTTCTCAAAAGATAGTTGCGATAATGCCTATTTTTCTCTCAAAGCTCTTTTAGCCGAGTTGTCAGAATCAATGACTGAAGCTCTCCATGACGAGTTGGACATCGGCCTGATACACTACTCTCAGTCTTTCCTGCTTTTAATTTTGATTGTTTATGATGAGTCGGACATTGGCAATTTGTTGTTGAATTTTATTTTGATAATTTCTGAAAATTTTGTTTTATTTTGTTGACAGCTTTTATTGCCCACAAATTTCAAATAGAAAAGTTAGAAGAGCTACGGATTTGCTTTCCACTGGTTCCCTGTATTGAGTGCAAACGTGCTCCTAATATACTTGAATTAATTCTAAAGTCAGTAACTTTTCTGGGATTGTTTGTGGTTTTGTGAGTGTTGCTTAGGTAAAACGTGGGTTGTCTAAATTGCTGCATTTAAGAATGCGATTGTATTGCAACAGGATTTTCATTTAATTTTTCTGTGGATATTTTCATGTATGTTGTTGGTTATAGTTTGAAAACCCGCAGCAAAGCGCGGGCATTCCTGCTAGTTTATACTAAAGAGTGGGCGAATAAATTGATTTTTGTTATATGCCTATTTAACTGAGCTATTCTAAGGGAATAGAGAGAGGGAGGCCGGCGACAGTGAGAGAGAGAAGAGAGAGATTTAATTGTGAGGTGTGTGTGGTATTATCTCATTGTGCCTTTATTTATAGTAGTATGATAGATAAAATCTTTGCCCTTTTATGATTATAACTCTAATAGAAATTAGACCATTAAAAGGAATATAAAAGATATCCCTAGATACACTAGGATTTGCACAATCACATTCTTATTCCAAATATGACTGCAACACTCCCCCTTGAGTGTGTAAATACTCAAACAAACATCGCATCAAATCTTCAGCAGATAAGGTAGAACAGTTGATGAAGTCGACAACACAACGGGCGAATGCGAGTCTCAAATTTAAGAAAATATGCATGGGTAGTAAAACTCACAAAACCTCGTTATGGTAAAACCCAATGTGGGAAAAAAACCCATAGACTAAGGAGAAAAGTGAGAAGTATGCATAATGTCGAAAACAAACGTCAAACAGGACGAAAGTAGTGAATTAAACGGAGTATGACCATCTCAGGATGGGTGCCTCATTAAAACCTCATTAGGTAGCAAAAACCCAGTGGGAAAAATGCTCCTAATCATAGAAAAAAGAGTACATTAAGATCAAGTGAGTATGCTTCAGGATACTCCCCATAAGTTAGACATAACTTCAAAATAAGAGAACTACAAGTGATTCAATTCAGATAATTTACGTATACCGATTCCTTGGACGAGCTTCTAAAAAGTAGACTTGGGCAATGACTTGGTGAAGAGATCGGCCAGGTTATCTTAGGAACAGATTTGCTTGACTTCAATGTTTTGATGCTGTTGTTGCTGGTGAGAATAAAAGAACTTCCGCGCTATGTGCTTGGTATTGTCTCCCTTGATGCATTCATTCTTTAACTGCTCTATACATGTTGCATTGTCTTTGAAGATTGTCGTAGGAAGGTCAATGACGAAAGTAAGACCATTAGTGCTTCAAATATGTTCCATAACTGCTCTCAACCAAAAGCACTCATGCGATGATTCATGCAAGGTGAGAATCTCAGCATGGTTCGAAGAAGTTGCAACTAGCGTTTGCCTAGTAGACCTCTAAGATATAATAGTGTCTCCAAATGTAAAGACAGCCCGTTTGAGAATGTGCCCTATGTGGGTTAGACAAATATCCAGCATTTGAGTAACCAACAAGATGGGAATCAATCCGAGAACCGAGAGGGGCGACAACTCTTGAAGATTTGCAGGTATAGAACAAACCCAAATCTGTCATACCCTTGAGGTAGCATAAAATGTCTTTAACACCATTCCAGTGCCTGCGTGTGGGCATATTGCTGTATCTAGCCAAAAGATTAACAGCGAAGGCGATGTCGGGTCTAGTGCATTAAGCCAAGTACAATAAAGCCCCAATTGCACTTAGGTATGGAACTTTAGGTTCCAAAATCTCTTCTTCATTCTCCTTTGGATGGAAGGGATCTCATTTGGCATATAGAGTCCGAACGACCATAGGTGTACTCGAAGGCTTCACTTTATCCTTATTAAAACGTCGCAACACCTTTTAGGTGTAATTCGATTGATTTACTAGGATTCAATCCGAACAGTGCTCAATCTCTAAGACAAGGCAATATCGAGTTTTCCCAAGATCTTTCATTTCAAATTCTGATTTCAAGTGCGCAACAATTTCCTCAAGCTCTACGGGAGTTTCGATGAGGTTCATGTCGTCGACATAAACTACAACGATCGTAAATTTGGAATGTGGCTTCTTTGTGAACACGGATGGGCATAATTTGTTGTTCACGTAACCCTGACTTGTCAAACATTCACTCAGATGGTTATACCACATTCGCCCCGATTGTTTCAATCCGTAAAGTGATATTCGCAATCTAATAGAGAGTGTTCCATAGTCTAGAACTATTTGAACCAGTCAATGGAAGTCATTCTGGAATTTTCATATAGATTTATGTATCTAGATCCTTATAGAGATACGTGGTTACCATGTCCATAAGCTGCATATTCAGTTTTTCAGAACTACCAAACTGATTAGGTAGCGGAACATTATAACGTCCATTACGGGGGAATATGTCTCTTTGTAATCAATCCTAAGGCACTGAGAGAAGCCTTATGCTAAGAGGCGTGCTTTGTATCCCACTATTTCATTCTTCTCATTACGCTTCCTCACGAAAACCCAATTGTAGCCAATTGGCTTCACATGTGGTGGAATTGGAATAATAGGTCTAAACACCTTATGTTTTGTAAACAAATTGAGTTCGACCTGGATTGCTTGTTTCTAGTTTGACGAATCTGTTCTACGTCGGTATTCATCAACGGAACAAGGTTCAATGTCATCGTTAAGCATGATGTCAGTAGCTATTATGTACGCAAATGAATCTTAGACAATTATCTCATTCCGATTCCAAACCTCATCCAATACTGCGTAGTGGATGGAAATCTCACGATTCTTGAGAGGTCGGGTTGTTTCGTCTAAGACATCACCGTAATCTAGAATAACCTCATGCATTGGAACAGATGAGTGAGCGATGGTCAGATTCAAACTAGGGTCACTAGTTGGTGCTGATTTCCTTTTTCGAGGCTGTGAATCCTTTGAACCAGGGGGTCTGCCATGCTTTAGGGTTGGAGCAGATGATTGGCTAGCCGTCAATGTACTAGGCCGCGTGGAAGGTGTGGCCTCCCCATATTCGCGGATGGTCCAGCCTTTCCAGGCGGGATTACCCAGGGTTCATCTATTATTGCAAGTCCATTTGCAACAGGTATATGTGATCTTGTCACCTTAGCTAGATCATTAAAAGCATCTGGCATGCTCTGGGCAATGCTCTGAATATCTATAATTCATCGCACCTCAGTTTCAGACTAGGCAGTACGGGGATCTAAATGAGACATAGTGTGAGCATACCACGATAGGTCGTGGCATTATCCATGAATGTTAGCATGCTTATCTCCCCATAATGGCGAGAATACTGTCTCATCAAAGTGACAATCCATAAAATGTGCGGTAAATAGATCTCTTGTCAAGGGTTCTAAATAGAGAACAATTGATGATGAATCATAGCCAACATAGATTCCTATTTTTCTCTAAGGACCCATTTTGGTACGTAGTGGCGACTCTATTGGCACATAAATTGTGCACCCAAACACACATAAATGCTAGACGTCAGGCTCGTATCCAATAACCAACTGTAATGGTGAATGAGGTTAGGTAGCAGTGGGCCTCAGGCGGACCATCATAACTGCGTGCAATATTGCATAGCCCCAGGTAGATACCAATAGTTTGGTTCGCATAACCAAAGTTCGAGCTATCAATTGAAGGCGCTTTATAAAAGCTTCTACCAGGCCGTTTTGGGTGTGAACATAGGGTACTAGATGTTCCACATTAATCCTTACTGACATGTAATAATCGTCAAAAGTTTGTGACGTAAACTCTCCAACGTTATCCAGTCGAATCGACTTGATCGAATAATTAGGGTGGTGAGCCCTTAGCTTAATAATTTATGCTAAGAGTTTCACAAATGCAGCATTGCATGTGGACAACAGGCAAACATGTGACCATCGTGTCGATGCATCAACCAACACCATAAAGTATCTAAACAGTTTGCATGTTGGTTAGATATGTCCACAAATATCCCTTTGAATCCTCTGAAGAAACTTAGGAGGTTTATGAAATAATTTTTGTAATCAAGGGTTGAATATTCAACTTCCTCAACGAACACGTTTTGCATGGCGAGAATCCAACGTAGAGAGGTAAATGATGCCCATGTGATGATTAGAGGATACATCGCATCATGTCACGTCCGGATGTCCCATACGGTCATGCCAAAGCAACAAAGTGCTTTGGAACTCAAGCACAGGGCCAGCCACATGGTAGGCTTCTATGTCGCGAATGGTTATCATGTATAACCCACTCAGGAGACGTTCTAACTTCTTGTGAATACGCTTATGGGCATATTTGTAAGAAGTGATACAAAGAAATTCATATCCATTATCTTTAGTGGTTTCAATATGATATTGATTATCTCGAATATCTCTAAAACTCAGCAACGTTCTTCCGGAACGTGGAGAATAGTGAGGCTCTTTAATGGTTAAGACAATACCATTGGATAACATGATACAGTCCTTTTATTATCCCACGATCAGGTTGGATGGGCCTGAGAGAGTTGTCAGATGTGCTTTCATAGGTACAAAGTTAGTTAAATAGTGTCGCTTATGCAATATGGTGTGTGTGGTAGCACTATCAGCTAAACAACTAACTTCCTCACTAGAAATATAAATTGAAATAAATTGATTGAATTGGTCACATGCATAAATATAATTCCATTCATTCAATTAATCAATTCGAGAAATAATATCCATAAAATAAAAATCCATAGTTCAAAACAAACCAAAACCAAACAAATTATTCCAAATACTTAGAAAAATTGTCCAAAATTAAACCATAAACCTAGAAAGATAGGGGGTCTGGCCACTCCTAGTGGGTTCGCCACTAGGGGTAAAACACCCTAAAACATGTCTAAAATTTTATTCGTCCATAGGAGTTGATGCCTCCTGAAAATCTGATATCGCTATGGATGTAGTTGCATCTTCCGAATGTTCCATATGTGCAAAGTTAGACTCACGACGGGAATGATACTTGGTAATAGCCTCAGGGGTAGCTCGGCATACGCGTGACTAATGATCCTTTGATCCATATTGGTTGCACATGTCCATTTCAGTGGAAACTGATTGAATGGTAGCTTTTCCCGTGTTCTTGAAGTTTGGGGCCTTGGGGGCAAGGGGTTGGCGCTTCTGGGTCACATTTTCTCCCTTAGGTGGGCCTTGATTTTGTTGACCTTGGGTCTCTAGTGGGGCTTGCCACCCATTGCCACGGCCACGATGATTCTTGCGTCGTTTG